CTGAAGATCGTTTGAAGGTACAATGCATATCTGAGAGAAGTGTGCGGGCGTGGCAGTGATGGCTGCGAGGATCCAGACGGAGAAGAAAGAGAGATATGTGCGTAACGAGAGTGGAAAGTCGGCGCCATGAATACGTAGTCGTCCGCCAAAAAGAAACACGCATATGGCATAGAAGAACATCTCGGAACATTCCTTGTTAGGCCTTCTATGTACCTTGTTGTCGTGTACAAAATGAACTTCGATGGCGCGCCATGGGTAATGCCTTTTTGAGCTTACTCGAGAATTACAGCACTATCCTCCCGGCGGAGTGCTCCTCGAAACAGAGGATTCGCCTGCAATTCATTCATGCTTTGAAAAACACAATTTTTCTTTCCTAGGCAAAATGGAGCAAGCAGTACCTGCGACAGATACTTGCTTTTGTGTAACGCACTTACGCAACTAGGTTTGGGGAGTTGAACGGAGCCCGAAAATTCTTGCATCCGCTGTCTTCATAAAGCGTGTGAAAGCTACTACTCAAGCGTTCCCTTTTTAAATTGACAAACAATATTCCAACAATGGGAAATATTTCGCTGTAACCTCTTCTTCTCCAGGAGCGATAGGGAAAAACCGACCGATCATGGCCGTGAGCTTTTTTTTTATCACCCACCTTATTCACCAGACTTTCCTTTCCCCACATTTTCAATCATCTTGGCCATAATTATAAGTAGCACTAAGTAAGTAGTTCAATGATCAAAAAGCTAGACAGAAAAGACCTCAAAGGCATCAGAAACCCATTCCGATGGATTTTGAAAACCTGCTTAGTGTCAACAGTGAATACACTGCATATCTGAGGACAGTTTCCCACCTTACATCTTCGCACAAGGTGAAGCTACACAATATGCCGTCTGGTTCAAAACGGCCTGCAGTGATCGGTTCAGTGTGGGAAGACGCTGTCACCAAAGTTGAGTTTATATACGGGTTCCTGAAGATGATCGTGGTGGTCTGAGTGATGGTATGAGGCGCTAATGGTCCAGCTGTTTGGATATCCTCGCTAAGGGTCACGATATGTTTTTCATGACTTGACCGCTTGTTCGTCGGCGGCACAGGGATCCTACCCATGTGACTTGACCTATTCTGAATATACCAAGACTGAGAGGCCCGAGTTGGATATCTGGAGTATCCATTTAACCGGCCTCTCGAGCTTTCATGATGCGCTCTAGGAGGGTCTTCGTTTGTTCCCCCCCCCCTGTGTAGTGCCCTTGATCGAGATCAGATAGTGATCACGATACGAGTGTGCGTGTATATAATGCTCTTCCCATGACGCTTTCGGGTATATGTGCGAACTTCATATTAAAATCGCGTTCCTCTTCGACTCCCTTCACGACGTTCTTCTGATTACCTACTTACTCACTTAGACTGATCAAGTCTTCTAATTATTATTCGGTAAATGCAATGTGTAAACTCAAGAGAGACTGGATCTCGGAGTGGACCATCTTTTCAATACTTTTGGTAAAACACGGGAAAAGGATCACGTCTTAAGGTTTTCGACACATAATAATTCAGCAGTGATCGGGCAATAATAGTTGCAGTTATAGCAAAAGCCTTACACTTTGAACGTCGGCAATATCAAGCAAATACAAAGCAATCGTGTAAAAGACGTTGTGGTGACCGCCACTATGACCTCAGTCTGGAAAGCAAATATAACTGGACAAGGAATGCCAGTGATGGCAAACATTAAGGTTGGGAAGTACAGGAAGGGCCAAACAAAAAAAGTGACTTTTTTCCTTGACTTTCGAGGCGCTCTAGAGTTACCAGCACACATTTATTGAATTCTGGATCGGGCATCCCCACCACCATCGTGAAGAAGCATTCTGAATACTATCATGAATCTCCGCCACAGCCTTCTGGACGCGCGCCATCGAGAGATTCTGGCACGCGACCGCGATGTGGTGCCTGAGACTAGCGAGATAGTCGATTTATCCTCCACCGTAGACCACCTATTGAACTCCGGGTAATTGAGGGGTTCAGGTCAGGTGACCTACTTGGATATTTCATCTCCTCTTAGGTACTCAACGCCCTTCCATTCCGAGTAGGCGAGAGTTTTTCCAACGCCCTCGATTCCATGTGGTGGCGCCTGTAACAGTACAAAGTTTCCAAGAAGGTACGGCGACGACATGGGGAGGATATTCTTCTCGAGTTGCTCGATGTAACCGCCAGCGCTCACCTTCAGTCCGGGGTCCACGAAGAAAATATTGGTCTTTCCATTCCAGGTACGTCCGGTCCGACAATACCAATCAACTCGTGCCTTGAGCGAGCTGTGGTGAAGAGATGGTGTCAAAGACCGTCAGGCAACGCTTGATCGGAGCTGCCATCGATGTTTGGAGGTCTCCCAAGATCGAGAAGTACTGGTCTCCAGGTAGCTATCCATGGTGACTCCATACCAGAAGTTTCGCAGCTGTTTGGAGGTGACGTGAATTTCAAAGGTCTTCTCCAGTCAGACTGCTACTGGAGATGACTTCATATTTGGTGTACATAAAGTTGATGGGCAAGAGCGCTACTGCTTATCGAGGAACAGTCTTGAGTGTCTTCCGCCCTGGTACTCGTATCCACGTCTTCTGTCTCGCGCTGCGAAAACTTTGCTGATATGTGACTCGATCGAAGTGACTTTTTTAATAATTGGCCCCCCCCCCCCTTTATAATAGTGTCCGTAGGAGTTCCAGACGAAATAAAGGGTAAAGGATAAAGTTTTCGCTGTCTACCAACCCCTTGTTGGGATGCGGCCTGATCTGCTCCTATTAGGGTGTCCACAAAGTTCGTTGGCCATTTGTAAACAGCGTCGCGTTACGCAACGCGTTGTGATTTTGCATAATGGTTTCGCAATACTGAAAGTACTCGCGATGGGCTATCTTCTGAGCTAGCTAGCTCTAAATTTCCTTTCCTGATCTTTCCACAATAAAGCAGTGAAGATGAGTGATAGTTGCTGGACTACTACAATCTGGACATCTCCAGACGTCAGGCCACGACCAGGATGCGTCAGCAGTTTGGTGATAACACCCCTTCTAAGAACTGGATGTCAAAATGGGGACTCGCTTCACCAATGGAAACTATGGCATCGAAGATATGCCGAGGTTTCTGGTTCTCTCGTCACGGCGTCGTCCACTATAGCACCCTACCCAACAATGCCACAGTGACGGCAGAGACCCTCTCTAAAGAATTACAGGAGGTCAAGGTGAAAGCTGCCGCCTTGTCCCAGAAACTTGCAAATCCGTGGTTGCTCTGGGACAACGCGCGCCCCACAAAGCGAGAGATACTCAGGCCGTCCTGGACAGGCTGGGCATCAAGACGTTCACGCATCCACCATATAGCCCGGACATCAGTCTATGCGATTACCACATCTTCCGGTCCATGCGAAACTTCCTGGACGGAAAACAGCTGAAGAACGAGCGCGACCTCGAGGACGTGATCGAGGACTTGGGCGAGTCGCGGCTGGCCGGCTTCTGAGAGGATGGAGTTGCCTCTCTACCCGATCGTTGGCGAAAGGTGGTGGGTATGCATGGAGATTATATCATGGACCGGTAAGTTCAACTTGGTGAGTTATCTTCATAAGCTCTGCAAAAAACGAATGGCCAACGAACTTTGTGGACACCCTAATATTTAGAATCGTAGTGGCTTACTGAAGTGCGATATGGCGTATGCAATTGAGGTGCTGGAGCAGCTTGATGCCACAAGTAAGTGTTTTTATTCGTCTCAGACAAATCCGGTATTACCCTTTCTCAAGCCTTCTACCCCTTCTAAAATTTACAGTCCCCTGAGGGTAGAAGGCTTGGTTTGCCTGAGCCGAAGCCCATCCGGAATTTGACTCCCGGATCGCGCGCGTGGTAAGCATCACCTTGAGGCGGAAGTGGTGTAGTGGTAAGCTTGCCACTTGCCACTACACCACTTCTGCCTCAAGGTGATGCTTATGGTTAGTAGTAATGTATGTGGTCGGACTTTGTTGTAGATGTCCGAGCTGAACTTGTCAATACATTCCATACCCGTGAGACGCGGTAGGCGTGGCTGCGCACTTCAACCGAATATGGGGTAGGTTGCTTGTAATTTTGGATAGAGTGGATTGTTGTTCATTGGCAAGAAAACAAGCATCCTTTTGATACGCTAACAATAGTAAAAAGGACTCACGTGTTACTCCCATAGCTCATTGTGGCTGTATGAGACGAGTTTACGTTCTGCGAGCCTTGTTGCCTTCAAGATCACGGCAAATGAGAACTTGCGCACCCCGATCTATACCAGGACTTCATTCGATTCATCGGTAACGACCATCACACGGGACACTGATGGGGCGTTAAACAAGCGTAAACAGGCGTGTGGCAAGGGTTATGAAAAGGAGTCTAGTATGCGGTTGGCTTATTAATGGTGGCATTTTTTTGAAAGAAAATGTGTATTACTCAAACAGTCTTGGCAACTACCTCTAGATGGAATGAGCTTCAGTAGCACTGAGTTTTTTTTTAGAATGCGCTGAGTTTGTTAGAAGTTTGGGTTCACAGTACACACAGGGCTGTTTTCAGCCTTGGTGGCTATGATGTTTAATTATGCATGTGATAAGGTTACGATCATAATGCATTCATGAGTGATCCACCTTCTTTTTTCTCAAATCGACGGATTTACTAGGTCTCCTTGAACTAGGCTTGAACGCGCGTTACCATTTCATGAACTCATGTTAGTTCACACCTTCCTCTCCCCTTTCACAGAAGTAGAACCTGGCGTTTAGCAACGGCAAATATTTCACCCTTCTTTTATCCTCTTCAGGCTTGTAAAGTTTGATGTGTTTGTAAGTACCTGAGGACAAGTTGACAGATGGCTGAAATTCTAATAGAATCATTACTTTACACCAATTTATTAAACAACTTACTCTACGAATTCCGGTTAAGTTTTGGTGCAATAAAATAGAAAATTTCCAAGTAGTTGGTAGCAAGATCATAGCTGAACTTTCTTTCTGTTCAGGAACATCTTATCGAGCCTACCGAATGGGTCCAACCGAATTCGGTCATTTACCTGATCCGCCAAAAGGAGCCTTTGTTCCAGAAGGTAAGTAAAACTTGGACTGGTCTTTCAATACTGTGCATTTCTGTCTCACATTGGGGGACACTCTCAGAGTTTTTGTTCTGAACGTTTAGTGTAGTTAGGCGCTTCTCAAACCTGAACATTTGAACACATTCTAGGTGGTATGCGACCTGAAGACAGTCAACGGATCCATCTTATCAACGCCTTCCGGCGATACGGGTACCTACAAGCTGAGCTCGATCCTCTTGGTTTGCAGCCAAAGAAGGAGTTAGTTTACACCTCAGACATTCTAACAGTCGAAGCGTGTAAGACAAGTTTAAGGCTTATAATCGGGGAGGGGGTGTTTTTTGATTAGGGTGGAGTCGATCCGAAGTGATACCCTCTGCTGCGTGGTACTTGGCTCCACGTTCCACTAAATCACCTCCGCCTAGGTTCTCATAGATATCTGTTCTTAATCCTGGATCGGTAGCTTGACACAGTTGGAATTGAAGCGTGACTCTGTTCATGAGTAATATCTTCTCGTGATGCGCCACTCATTAGACTTCTCTTCTAATACTGCACCATGACATTCAAAAGGCAAAATGTACTTTCATTTCCGTGGACGGTCCTTTCCATGTGCGAAGTGAATGGTGCCGCAGTTGCAGAAGGGTGCTATTTCTCCGCTCGAAGGTGCATTGCACCAGGCCAGGAGGGGTAGTGATAGAAGGGTGCCGTTACCCGACTCGCAGGCAAAAAGCGCACTTGGTTGTAGTTTAGGCGTACGGCTGGCCCTGCGGTAGTGCAAGTGGGGTATGGTAAGAGCACCCGGGTTTCACTGCATATGGAAACTTCACTCGGGTATCGCTGCCCCTTTTGCCTTCTAGAAAATGTATAGTTGGCCCGTACAGTGACTTGCTGAGTAAGAATGCAAGTCAGTGGTAATAAAGCCATCCATCGCAGGACAAGTCAGATTTCTATCTATATACTGTGCTGCTCTGCTAGGATAAGATAACATGAATCGTCTAGGTTCTGTTCCATCTCTACCCCCCCCCCCACCCTTCATCACAGCGGCCGCCAAGTGACAGTACACGCATTCATACCTCGGAGTTGAATGCGTTGTTCCCAGAAAAGACTGGCCAGCACTTCATATTCTGTGCAGTTATTAATATATGATATATTTCTTATTTTTGGTTCTGTCTAGGGTCCCGGAACTTAATCCGGCGGTTTATGGTTTGTCGCCAAAGGATGCTTTGCCGGGTAAAGAGCTAAGCTTGGAAGATTTGGCCGAGCAGTTGCGACTGATTTACTGTGGTTCAATGGCAATTGAGTTTATGCATATTAATGTGGGTTCATTTTCCGTCAGTTATCCGGCCATGCCTAAAACTGGACGTTACGGTAGAGTTCAACTGTCGTGGCCTTGAATGATCGTAGTTCATTCAGAGCTGGGAAGAGCGCCAATGGCTCGCGCAACACTTCGAGAGTGCAGTGTCCGAAGAGCTTCTCATAGAAGAGCGCGTGAATTTGGCGAAGCTTATGATCAGATGCGAGGTATATTTACTAGTATCAAGCTTGGAAAAAATCCATGCCTTTTTTGCTCTAAAGCATTCTCAAGATTATTTTAGAATTTCGATCACTTCCTTGCGCTGAAGTTCCCCACAGTGAAACGATACGGCAGCGAAGGAGCTGAGGGTATGTACGGCTTCTTCTCAGAGCTTTTCGACTCAGCGCCTGAAAAGGATATCAAACAGGTGCGTGAGCGTCCTCACTCATAAACGCTCGTCTACATACTAGGCTGGTCCGACTGAAGTAGATGTGTTCTGTTCAGTAATTGTTGTACCAGACGTTTGTAAAATTTTGCCTACGTTAAATGTGTTTTCCTGTTTTCCATAATTGTCAGAGCATTTGCTCTCGATCTCGGAATCGCTGGATAGAACATTGTCCACGTTGCGCACCGCCCTAGCGTGGAATATTGAGCCTATGCAAATCAGCATACAGTTCAAAGGAGCTAAATCTAAAGAGTTGCAAAGCAAGCATAATTATCATAAAGCAGCCTTCGGGCTTCGCATTGACGCGCACCGATGCCCGTCGTAGCGGAATCTGCTGCCTGTTCGCGGAAGGTAGAATAGTAAGTTTGATGTAAAAAGAATGAACATTGTCGATCCGGAGGATTGAAGAATAAGATAATCGACGAATTTTCGACTCTCATGATCGATACGTATTTAGTCTCCTTTGTGCATTCTCCGTTCATAAACAGATTCCCTAATCCTTTTATTGCCTCCGGTCGATATGCACACATTGCTTTCTGCGGGTTTTCCGAATTTTTTCCATTCCACGCTTCGTCGGTTCTTCGGTGTATGAACGCAAAGTGGATGAAGATGAAGACAAAAAGACACTTTGCTTGGGAGCCACACCATTCGAACTCATGCCGCACAGGGTGACGGGGTGCATAGAAGATCCAGCCTTGATTATTAGGTTGGCGGGAAAGTTTTGTCACTTATTTTCGAACTCAAATTACTTGCTCATTAGCAAGAGGGGTAACCGGTAATGTAAGCTCTTGTACAACAAGGAGTGGTCTCTCTGTTAGTACCACTCGCTTGCCTCTTGCTCCTTCTTCTGCAATATGCACAAGGATTTTATCCGCTACCATCAGCCCCGACCCATCCAACAACTTCCACAAACTATTTCACCTACCACCCTGACGCCAGCGTGTTAGCTGCAGATGCCAAATTGATGGAGCTGAATAAGCACGATGCCCCCAATCATCGAGCAACCTTACCACGACAGTGACTCTTCAAGGCGGGAGCCTAGGGAGCCTACAGTTTTGATGACGAAGTGAGGTTTGGGTTACCTGCAAACTCAGCTTGAGGGAGCTATGGGTCGGGAAACTGCTGGATGAAGAAGCTGCTTCCTTGGTCAAGGCGTAGCAGCTACGAGATCTAAGGCGTATCGTGGATCAGAGGGAAAAATTTGTCCGCACAGCCGGCCCTCACCAAGATAGTGCAACGCACTTGGTCCAAAAAAGTTCGAGCCGTACCTCATGCAATGGAGCTTGATCTCTCTCCCCTTGCACTTGTGTAGCACAGACATCGCCCCTTCTAATAGCAAGTTGCCTTCCGTAATCGATCGTTATGCGGACGAGAAAACCTCCATAACCCAAGTTCAAGTCGAGGTTGAGATGGTGTCCAACTTCGCGTCGTGTCTCCCTGCATAGTGAAGAATGTACATATTTTGATCTCTACCTCCTTCGTCATGAAAAGAAAGCCTAGTTGAAAACATTGTGACAGAACTTTCCCGCCAACTAATATTTCTGATGATGTTCTTCTATGAGCAGCAACAATCCTTCCACCACTGCTTGCACAGACATGAAAAAGCAGAGTACGTAGTTCATCACTGCAGACAAGCTCAAGACGGTCTACAATATTTGCATGCATTCTCAAGCAGCAGCAGTATTGCAAAACCGCACACTGTGGCAGGTCTCGAGAGACTGGCGGTGATTTACGATGACGGCTCGTCCGATGATAGATAGACCTTCACGCTGTTCTTGCTAACCATTACCTCCAGCCATAGGTGCAAGTGGAAGCAAATCTTTGAGTGGGCTAATGAGGTCAATAAGCTCTACAGTATTTCCGTAAGTCTGAAGCAGCGGTCGCACCCACACCCGTGTGCGAACTGTACTGGAGACGTCAATCCGATGATGATTGCCTTCAGGTGTTCTGCTGTTAGAACAAATTTTTTACAAGGCTTTTGTAAATAGATCTCCTTTCTCTGCGAGAGTTCAGAGGTATTCTTTCATAGCGTCTTCTGGCCGGACATTTGAACGGATAAAAATAAAGAAGAGGGACGAGAGAAAAAGGAATGAGAAAAGAATTGGGAGGAGGAAGCTTTCACATTTGATAGATATCCTGAAATGTACAGCTTCGCTATGTTTGTCATGACTTGATCTCTTGGTCATCATCCCGCATGTCGATTTAGTGGATTCTGAAGTGACGAAAATTTGAAATGTCACATGAAGTACACTTTAAAGGCAGTTGGCACGATAATTTGGT